TATTATAATTAAATTTAAAAATAAAAAATTTATATAATAATATATTATATTTTAAATTTATAATATTATTTAATATTATAATTATATTATTTTTGTTTATAAAATGGAGAAATTATATAGAAAACAGAGGGCATTTGCCTGAAATTGGAGCGTGGAGGCAGGGAACCGCGGTAGGCCCAATTCTAACACCACCGCCCCGCAACTACAAATACCGTTCTCACGAATCTCAGCACTGCCTTTGCCATTTCTGCATTGACTTCTTCTTCGGTCTTTCTCCTCAGCTGACACAAGGTCCGGGGAGGGAATTCTTCGTCTCTTCACTGAAAAAATCTCAGTTCCAGAAGCTTCTTCTTCCCGTTCTTTGCTTCCGTAGTGTTTGGTTAGCTTCAATGGAGGAGGTTGAGGGAGATTCAAGAACCGCACGAGATAAAGACGATGATACTCAGATCAAGAATGTTGACAGCAGTAAGAAGAAGCGGAGGAGGAGGAGGAAGAAGGTTTCGCGGTGGCTCAGATTTGGATGCTTGAAAATGGAATCTGACGAGGGAGGTGGAGTTGATTTGGAGGTTGATTTCGAAGGAAAGCGTGGCGATCCTACGCACCTCGTTATCATGATTAACGGAATCCTTGGCAGGTAGATCACATTCTTTGAGTTTCACGTTCGTGTTTTAGATTAAGAAATATTGTCGATGATTTCGTTAATTAGTTGGTTTGGTTTTTGTTCAGTTCTCAGAATTGGAAATATGCTGCAAAGCAGTTCTTGAAGAAGTATCCACAGGATCTTATTGTTCACTGTGAGTTCCATTAATTCAATTCTACAATTTTCAATAATGGATAATGTCAACTTAGTTATTGTGATCATATTCTTTTTTTTTTATTTTTTTTATTTTGATTGGTATTACAATCCTCTAGCTGAACTTTATTATCTACTTGTTTGGAAGAGCAGTACAATGCATAGTATTTTGTTAGAAATTGATTGAATTTAAGTGATGCTTTAGGTCCATCACAAGATAAAATCATAAGTTTCAAAAAGTGAGAAAATTAAATTTTACCAGAAATTTTTAGCTTTTGATAATTTGATTGAATTGTAATTGTTTTAAGTCAGTTTTCTGATTCTTTAAGAGCTCCTTTTTGTTCTTCTCAGTTTTATTAGTGCCATGTTAGTTTTGGCTAGGTTGACTTGGTAGTCACTGACTCCAAACCTTAATTTGAAGTTCTAACCATATTGAGAAGATTGTAAATATTGATAATTGAAATGTTAATGGCTTCTGTGATGTAATGTAATAAAATTCTTGTTCAATGCAGGCAGCAAAAGCAATTGTAACATCTTGACACTTGATGGCATTGATGTAATGGGAGAACGATTGGAAAATGAGGTCTGTTTTTCCTGCTAAAACTCAAAAACGGGATCTCTTTTTTCTCCTTGAATGCAACTCATTTCTTCTTCTTTCAAAATTCTGGTCATCACTTAGAACCAGGACTAGTTTTCTAGTATGATTTCCTCTTCTCTTCTTGTTTTAAACTCAGGTTCTGATTGTTGAACCTCCAAAAGTTCAATGGAACTGTCTTGATTTGAGGTTGCCAAGTCACTAAGCATATTGTTTCGTTCAGGTTGTATCAGTTATAAAACACCATCCAAGTCTTCAGAAGATTTCATTTGTAGGCCATTCATTAGGTGGCCTGGTAGCAAGGTATGCCATTGCACGGCTCTATGAACTAGACATCACAGGGGAACGTTTTCAAGGAAACGGAGCTTGTGGGGATGATCATCAGGGAGATTCATGGCCAGAAGAGAAATTCAAAGACAAAATTGCTGGACTAGAACCCGTGAACTTCATAACTTCTGCAACTCCTCATCTTGGTTCACTGGGGCACAAACAGGTTATGGATTCACTTGCTTCCCTATGTATAATCATGAGTTGTTTCAAGGCTTCTTCTGAGAGTTTTCTTTCTGATTGTATTTGTTGGTTAGATGCAAACTCTTGTGTTGAACTTTTGACAATAAGTTTCTTTCATTAACATATTTTCTCTGCTGGCTTTGTGTTATTCAGGTTCCGATGCTTTGTGGATTTCATACACTGGAAAAAGTTGCTGCTCGTACATCTTCGTTTCTTGGTAGAACTGGAAAGCACTTGTTTCTGACTGACAGAGATGAAGAAAAACCACCTCTTCTTCTTCAGATGGTCAGAGATTGTGAAGATCTTAAATTTATGTAGGTCCTCTCACCTCACAAACCTGTTATTTTTTATTATAAAAATATGTGAGATTCTAGTTGTGAAATACAGAATTTGTCCTCATATCTGTTATTATCTATCATAACTGCAGCTCTGCATTGCGGTCCTTCAGACGTTGTGTTGCATATTCAAATGCGCGTTTTGATCGTATCCTCTTTCTTTGAGTAGACCAAGCAGCTACTTTACTAAGTAGCTATACTTTTCTTTTTATTCCCGATTGGTAAAAGACTTACCTAGAATGGATGTTCAGACATAGTTTTAAATGCCCAGGCAATTGATTAAAGGTTAGGTGTTTGTGGATCTGATAGTATTGAGCACTCAGGCATGATTTATTGCTACAGTGATGCTGTTAATCACTTGACACCTTTCTTAGATATTGTAGGATGGAGTACATCATCTATACGACATCAGAATGAGCTCCCAAAGGTAATGAGGAAGCTTTTCATTTTTTTTTTTCTTTTGGCAGATTTTAATTGTATTGTGAGATAATGTTTACTTTAACCTATATCTGTCAGATTAAACATCTCAAAGGAGCTGATAAATATCCACATATTATAAATGAAGAGGTATCAAAAATTTCTGCTTCTGATGAAGAACCATTGGAGGCCAAAATCAATGGATGCAAGAAATTAAGCATGGAAGGTTTGCTTCTTAATCTCTTTTCTTTGAACTAATTACTTTGCTTTTTTACTTTGGCAAAAAGGTTTGTCATATTGTCTAAAACTGGATAATTACTGATAATCATAAATAGATTGGATAGTGATAAATCATTTTCCTTAGACATTTAAGGCTGTTTGTTTGTTTTAGGTTTGGATTACTGAACTTGGCTATCAACTTATACTTTACATGTCATCACTTTTTTGATGGAAATGATCATATGTGTAAAACAGTCTGAAGACTGTTATAGCAGACTCTCTAGGTTTTTGGAAGTTTCACAAAATAAAAACTCATTAAGTGATGGGGAAGAGTTGAAGGTGAATTTTAAATTCTAAATTTCTAATTAATGAAAATGTTTATTTTTAATGCCAGCAGATGAATGAACTCAACAACTTCTATTAACTTTATGTCTATAGCATTTTTACATATATCCAGAGCTCTAGTTAAGTGTAGAGGAAATGACAAAATAGTTAAAGCTTCAGACATATATAACTGTCACTTTTTTCTTTTTTTTTTTTTCTTTCTCATAATTGTAGAGGAAATGATCAGAGGTTTAACAAAAGTGAGCTGGGAAAGGGTCGATGTTAACTTCAAGGGAAGTGCACAACGATTTCTTGCACACAATACTATTCAGGTAAGTTATCCTCTCTTGTATTGGAGGGAGATGAATTTAAGTGCTTGAACCCTTTTAATTTAACCTAATTTGAGTCTATTCGTACAATGCAAGTAAGTGCATTTTCACTTCCAGGGGAGTTGGTGGTCTAACTGGCTTTATGTTGTCCTTTTCTTTCTATTCAGGTGAATAACTACTGTATTAATTATGATGGAGCTGATGTGGTCCAACATATGGTGGACAATTTTCTCTTATAATAGACACCAAATCCATTTATTTGCCAATGGCACGTAGAAGCAATACTACTGCAAGGTTACTTTCTATGGTTTTAAAGCAGGTAGACAAGGCAGAGCGGGAGGATCCAAGGAGGCATTAAAGTGCTTCCCAGGGCAAGCAACTTGGAGTTACGCAGTATGTTCTTTAATTAAAGTATAGTGACTCAGAGAGTTATGACGAGTCTCAAGCTATTGGTGGAACTTTTCCGCAAGGAAGGTATCCATATACCTGAGAATGTAAAATTATATAGTGAATTCATTGATGAAGTTAGGTTTCGAAATTTCTGAAGATAATAGGTCTCCCCTACTTTTGAGGATGTACTAGTTTTTCTAGTCTGTTAGATGCCATGCTGGTTAGAACCAAGTTGACATATACTAGTAATTGAGACTTTGGCAAATGTCCTAGTGTATCCTCATATACATGTGTATCAGATCATATTTAATTTATAAATTCTTTAAATGTTAATTTTCCAAATCTTTCTAGCTATTTTAAAAGTCAACTTTAAATTCAAGCTTTTTTTTTTTTTTTTTAACATTTTTGTCATGGAACCGACTCGAACCGTTGCTCTAGGGGAGGAGGACATGAACCTTACAAACGTGGCTAGAGCCATTTGGCTCAAAGGGCCAGCTTCAAATTCAAGCTTACTTGAGTGGAATTCAAGTTTGAGATTGCATGTTTTAGGTTTAGATTATGCTGGGTTCTGCTTCGACTCAGTTTTCCGTGCTCTACTTATTTGATCTTTTGGTTGCCGCTAGATCCTGATTCAGTCTTTTATGGTCCCAGCAAGGCCAGTCTTGAAAAATAGGTGACAAGATTCACGAGAACTTTGCTTGATTGGTTGTGGGTTAATGCCAACTATCATCCCTCTACTATTGAGAAAAGTTCAGTTTAGACCTTCTACTAACAATTCACCTCATGTCCTCCCTCTACGATTCAAAACCATATTAATGTCATCCCTCCGTCCATTTTAAGGGTAACCAACTGTAGTTCACCGTTAAATTGCAGATGGCGGGGCATTTGGGACCTTTTCAATTCTCCTTTTTCAAAGGGTGGCCCTACACATGCCACGTCATCTCCTCATCTTCTTACACACTCTTTGGGCATTTGATTAAGGTAAACTTTTTCTTTTAAATTTTTTTAAATTTGTTTAAGAAGATTATTTATATATTTTTATATATTAATATTATAATAAAAAATAAAAATAACATTTTAATTATTTATTTTTTATATAATTTTAATTTTTAAACTTTTCTTCTTACATATTTTTAAATTTTTTTTATTAATTTGATAAGTTTATTTAAATATATATTTTCCTTATTAATTTTTCTTATATTAATCTTTTAT